GGGAGACAAAAAGGGCACCAAGTTTAAAACTGCTGCTTTCACGTTTGCTTCCCTGGGAGCTGGAAGTGGGGTCCCTCCACCAAAGGGGCTGGGTTGGACCGGGCCAGGCTGGGCTGGGTTAGGCCAGGCTAGGAGAGCCGCATCATGCTTGGGGGAGGGGAGAGAAGGTGGGCAGGTCAGGTGGCAGTGCCTGGTGCAGTGGGGCCCGAGCTGGTGGGGGCAGTCAGGGCCAAGCTGGGCTGGGAGCGCTGCACCATGCCTTTACAGGCAGTGGTGCTGGTAGGGCCTTGGGGGCTATATCCCACCAAAATACAACTTAGCCCCCTGCAGCCACCCCTCCAGTGTTGCCACCTGCCCACAGAGACATGGCATGGCACTCCTGGCCCGGCCCAGCTGAGCACAGCCCTCTGCATCTGTGTGACTGCTTGGGACATCCGGGTAGCAGCCCCCTGCAGGTAAGCGTAATAAGGGCTGAGCGGGGAGATAGACTGAGCCACAGGCAGCTCAAGGGGCTGGATAAGAGGACGGGCTCCCTCTTTGTGATTGAGAGTGGAGGAGCAGGGAGGGCTTGTGAAGGGAAAGTGTGTGTGTGTGTATGTGTCTGTCTGTCTATGCATCTGGGTGTGTGTCTGTTCCTGGCAGGGAGAGTGTGTTTGTGTCTGTGTCCATGTGCAGAGCGTGAAAGTAGAGTGCATATGCCTGTGTGTGTGCATGCCTGTGTGTGTGTATGTTCAGCAGGGCCCAGGGCACTCTACTCTGTGGTCCCCAGGGACAGATTGGGCAGAGGGGGGAATAAACCCCATCCCTGCCCCCTCTGCCTCAGGGACCATGCCATCTGGCCATGCCCCTGCCCCCGCCACAGCAGCAGCAAGGGGGGAGCACTAGGTAGACCCCCCAGCCTGGGACCATGGTGGGGGATGGGGTAAGTACAACCCCTGCCCTGGCCAGTTCACTTCAGGCAGCTGCCAAGGCCATGTCCCCACTGCTTGAGCAGCGAGCAATGCCTGACAGGTCCATGCTGGTGGAACAGGGGAGATGGGGAATAAACTGCTTCCTTGCCCCCTTCACCTTAGGGGGCCAGCATCTGGTCACACCCCTGCCCCTCCTCCGCCCGCTTCAGCTAGGGAGCAAAGGGGTAAAGCCAGCCCTGCTCCACTGGAGCAGACACCCTGGGACAGGGCTGCAGAGCATGCTGGGATGCTGTGGGACTCTGGTTTAACTTAAACCA